TTTCACATCCCATCTGCAATGTGGATGTCCACAAGGAAAGTTCGAATTTCCATACAAGTTGCGTTGACTTTTCTGTGTACCCTTTACTAAATCTCCGGTAATTGTCGTGTGAAATCTGACTGCCCCTATAAAGACTATTTCCCAGCGGTGGCTGGGCCGGCCCTACGTACGAGTAGTATGCAAAGCAGAGTGCGGCCAACAGGCCGTAGAACATAACTCAAACCATCAACGAATATGATGAAAGGGAGGATCGCAGATCCATATCAGAATAGAATATTTTGTTATGCTCATTAGTGGAGTGGAAGTGCCTCAGACCAGACCAGACCAGACCAGAGCAGACAAAGTCGGGCCATCAACACCCACGGCCCAAATCATTTATAATGTCTTAATTATTTCTGCGTCTTGGCCCAGGGAACGGGGGCCAACAAATTGTTTATGAAGTCGGCGATCAGCGATCTAACATGGAAACACTTCCTCTTCAGCTCATCTAGGGGGTTGGGCATGGGCTCCTAGGTCTAACTACGCCTCCGAAAATGATATGCAGCAGATTAGTGGACGTGATAATTTGTTCGACGTGCCTCCGTCTCTCTCCCTTTCTAAGTTCCCGTTTCGCTCGAGTGCTCTAGCACTCCCGAAAATAAACGACGAATTACAAACGGTGGAGGTAGAGACTTGAAATACACACACAACAAATATAAAAATACATTTTTTCCAGAGCTGGCCAACTACTAAATTGAAAATTAACATATTTCGGCAGTAGATGCTATCGCGACTCGGACTCGGACTCTGTCTCTGCCTCTGACTCTGAGCTGTGGCCAGCAACATTTGTTTGCCAGAAAACGAGAAACCCAAACTGTAAGAAACAAAACAGAAGGAGCCGAAGAGCAACAAGAAGAGGAGCTCTGGCAACTCCCAAAAGGTTAATTCAATTTTCTATTTTCCGGAGTTGCTGCCAAAGAAGAAAAAGGAAATTTCTCATTTTTTAAATTGATGACCAGAGCCGGAGCCGGAGTCAGACTCTTTCTTCGTTCTTCCGTCTTGGCTTCCTGTCTTGGCAATTGTCTTGGCACAAATCTCATGCCCACCGCAAATTGAAACTACAACATGCCATTGTCCTTACCGATTGAATAAGAATTATGCCAAGGATACACGTAGACACACACGAAGAACTCGAAGGGCAACGAGCAGCACAGAGGAGGGACAATTCCACGTAGACGGCTGTCAAGCCGTTTTGGAGCATTGTGATTAATGGGCTGCCGCCTGTGCTGCTGCTACTGCTGCTGCTGATGCCACTGTTTTGCTCCTTTTGCTGCCTCTGTGTGTCCATTGTCTAGGGCCGCAAACCATTTTGGCATGTTTGTCATTTGGGAAATTGTGCGGTGGCCCTAATGACAAAGACAAACAGGCGGCAGCAGCATGTAGCCACAGCCAGAGGGAGTCCACATACAGCCACAACAGACTCAATGATATGCATCAGCTCAATCCATGCAGAAGTTGCCATCAGAGTGAAGGGCAGGGCAAGGCACTCTGGCCAAATATAAATTCCATAATAATTCAATCAAAAATCTCGAAATTCCCATTCAATCTTCAATAAACCAGCAAGTATAATCTGTGTAGATGATCTAATTGAACCATCCACCATGGAGCTCTAGCTCCACTGTGGCCAAATGGGCATCCACTCAACGCCTTTGAGTGATTTCCCTGGATATACTCAGTCGCCCATCATTAAGTCGAGCAGTCAGTCAGTCAGTCAGCTATCCAGCCATCCAGCCATGTTCTTTCTGTGCTCTCGACTCCGTGTCGGTGTGGCCGTTGGCCGGTCTGACTGATGGCCATTGCCATTATTCTCCATGGCTGTTGCGCATGCGCGTCGGGACAAGCGATCGTTCAACGCGCTCTCTGGCCTGGAAACTATCCATGGCAGGGCAGGGCAGGGCAGGGCAGGAATAGTGGATAAAGATGAGGCAGCTCCTTGAAATGCAGCCACATCGCGTCGCTCTGGTGCAAAATGCTGGCAGCGAAACCAGCAATTACCATCGCCAGCTCTGATAGCTTCAGCAGGCACTCCGCACTCTGTCTGTGTCTCTCTGCCCTGTTTAGGTTTTTAGGCATTTAGTCTTTGTTTCGACAGAACAGATGCAGACTAGTCCGACTTGGAGTCCGAGGATGGCAGCCTGGTAGCTCTGCAGTTGATATGTTGTTGAGTACTTTTAATTTGCATGCTCTTAATGGTGTTGCTTCGTATTAAGCCAGAACCAGACTGGCCACAGGCGCAGAAGGCAGTTCATGGCATTGAACTCTGATTGGATCTGGGCCCTTTGGGGCTAGCAATATTGGAAAGGTTTGCTATCAAATTCAGAGTTCGAGATTCACCAAACTAAGACTAATATTTCTTACCATATTCCTGCCTGTTTTACCGATCACATTACGCTTTTCATTCGCAATTAACAGTTATGCCACCCGGTGGCCATTGCTTGTCCCCTCCCCTTGCCGGATTGCGACTCTAATGGCCATATCCATGTCCATATGCACATGTCAGTTGGCCCAAAAAGATGCGGCAGCAGCGATAGCCCGAATGGAAATGACACAAACGGAACAGAACAGAACAGAACAGAACAGCACAGACACACAAAATTGCAATTGAAGTTAATTTCAGCAAATTGCATGCCAAAATGTGTTAAAGGGAACAAATTCCGAGCGTTGGCTGTTGGCAGATGAGGGAGGCCGCCTCGAAGAACTGGCGATAGCCGCACTAACTAACTGACTTCTTTGGGCAAAAGCTGCAGCAGATGCAACAGCGGCCAGAACCAGGAACCAGAGCTGCCACAACAAGAGCAGCAGAATCACCAGCAGCAGCAGCAGCAGCAGCAGCAGCAGAAAGACGGGTAAAAAAAATTAAATTACAGGCTTAGGCGAGCATTGCAGCTTGGCTTCGAGTTGGAGTTGGAGTTGGAGGAGAGCTCTGGGCTGCCTCCTCCATTGGATGTCGGGGCCATAAATGACGGCATGAATGAGTGACCGGCTGACTGACTGACTAACTGAGTGAGTGAGCGAGCGGGCGAGCGAACGAGTGAGTGAGTGAGTGAGTGGCATGCCCCTGCGGGATGGCCATGGACGTGCTACGGACCGTGGACAGCGGCGGGCAATGGGCATCACTTAAGTATCTGCGCTTGCGGTGCCCACTAAGCTCCGCCCACCGAGTTGCAGCCGGTCCGGGTCCGAGTTCGGTTCGGGCCGGGCCGGACCAAAAGCATCGGGGCGCGAGATTACTCACGCGAATGTAATTTGGCAATTGCTTATTAGCGCTAACGCGCCGCCGTCGATCCGGGGTTCGAGGGGTTCCAACTTACCGATCTGCGGGCATGCGGCACAGTGGTGCAGGAACTCCACAGAAATATCTTGGCATCAAATTGCACACGAAAACGAATTATTATAAATGTGAAGAGGTTTTTCTCGTTTTTTCGTCGTTCTTCGAGCTGTTCCATTGATGTTTTAACCACTGTTCGATGGCGGCGGCGGCAATCGAACCACTTATATCACCTTCTAGTTAGAACGAGCGGACCATCCAGTTGTCGATCCTCGTCCGCGGCTCCAACGCCTCAGTTCCTCAGTTCCTCCTTCCTCAGCTCTCGGTTCTCGGTTCTCGGTTCTCGGATCGTCATTGCAGCTTGCTGGACCGAGCAGAGCCCCGAGCGAAAGATGGCACTGTCCGATGACTGTGAATGTGAAGTGCAATAATTTTCTTTTTTATTATTATTACTTTTTTTTCATTCTTTTTTGGGATTGCTGCAGATTGCCACTGACGCTGCAGCCGAGCTGCCGAGAGTGTTGAAGCATTTGCGCGTCATTTGCAGATTCTTTTAATATTATCATTTTTGGAGGCCTCTTTGGCGGAGCTCTTGAAACGAGATTTTGGCGGACAGAATGCGCTGCCAATGGCCTAACGACATGGCAAACATAGGAAATAAAAGATCGTTTAGAAGGCCCCTGGCAGGGAGACGGGAGAGGCGGTTTTATGTGAGTGCTGGATGGGAATTGATGGAAGCTTCAACCCTGTTGGACGGGTAGTCTCTCTTGGAATGTGCTTTGATCTTTTGTTCTATTCAAAGTTCTGTTCTATGCTCCATTCCCGTTTGTGCTGCCATGCCACACACTTTTGGTCTATAATTTAAATTAAAATATAACTCAGAAGAGATGGCTGCTGTTCGTAATGGATTCCCTCAAGTAGAGACCAAATCAACCCCCAATTCCCCACTAAGCTCCGCCCCGCTGGAGGAGAATGTGGTTCTACCCCTAGCGTCGAGTGCGTGGATATGGATCCTGCGTCCTGCCTCTGGGCATTATCCCGAGTACAACTGCAAATTATCCTAACTGGCCCATTTGAACCTGACAATTAGAGAGCGACGATTACGATGGCGGCCTGCGGTGTAATTCAATCTGCATATGGGACTGCCGACAGGACAGGACAGGACAGGGCCATGTTAAATGGAATCTCAGCGGTGGCCAACAATGAGCCTAGACAAAAGAAGAGCTCCGGCTGGGGCAATCGAAAAGGCACGAAAGTAGAGGCAAATGCAAAAAGCATGTACCACCACAGGATGAGATGTGAAAGAATAAGAGGAGCCAAGGAACTGGGCCCTAAATGCCATGAAATTTTTGTCAAACGAAAATACGGGCGTAGATTTCTATTAAAACGTAAGAACCGACTGGGACCGGGACTGGGACCGGGACTGGGACTGGGACCGGGGCGAACCTTTTGTCTTTTGTAATTTTATGCGACAATTTTTTTCTCCAACTCTCGTTTCCCGCGCTCTCTCTCTCTCCGTCTCTCTGTAGTCTGCTCTATCGGCCTTTCGGGTCTCGAAAGTAAATTAGAATATGGCGGATGGAAGAAGGAGGAAGGAGCCTACAAAGCATTCAAAGAATGCGGAGAAAAAGTATTGAATAACATTTTGATATGCTTAGAATTTGGTTCCAATTCGGATATGGCAAATGTCAACGGCAGCTGCGTGACTCTCCCCCCCGAACCCGATTCCCCTTGAAACGGGAAATGAAATGAAAAGAAAAACGAAACGAAACGAAGCTCAAGTGCAATTGAATGGAAATGAGAGCCACGCCCCTTACGATTGGGCAAAAGGAAGAGACCGAAAGGAAGAATTATAATAATAAAAAAAAAGGAAAAGGAGCGAAATAAAACTTGAGTCGCTGACCACGCAAAACACATTAAAATTTCAAATGCTTTGATATACCAATTAATTTTTGTTGGTTGGTTGGGAAGCGATTCGGACTGCGCTTCGTCTTTGGGCTCTGGTCTGGTCTGGTCTGGTCTGGGGCTCGGTATCTGCTGTTTGCTGTTGCGCTTTGCCGCCTCAATTAAATGCAACGAGACGCGATAACAAGATTATCCGCCGCAGACATCTTGAGACAATATCTATGTATATGCCATAAAAGCACCACAGCATTCCCCATCCAGGAACTGGCTCTGGCCGTGGTCCTCCTCTTGAGCTGCCAAATTGGCGTTTTGGCAATGAAACGCAAATGTTGCCCGGCAAAGTTGTGTCCTCATCCGCTCAATTCCATCCCAACGATGTCGCTGTCTTCGTCGTCGTCTTGTCATTGATTTGAATTTTATGCGCACGCAGGAGGAGCAAGAGCCGCCAGAGAAGCTGGAAAAAAGCGAATTTCCTTACCGCTTTACAGCCTTATTTGTCAGCCGAGACTGCTACAGTTTTGGCAAGTGCCAGTTGGCTGCAACTAAGCCGCTTTGGTGCAGCCAATTTGAGGCTAGATGAACGTTAATCAGCAGCTTCGATAGAGCCCTGGAACGCATTAGTTGTCTTTGAAATCATATGCAATGCCTTTCCCAGCACAGATCCTGTGGTAAGCCAATCGCAAAAACGTAAGCATCATTCTTTCGTTCAAAGCGGATTATTACCCAGGCAAGTGTCATGCACAATTGTCCTCCTCCCTGTCTGCTGACCTTATCGTAGACCCAGCCGCAGCTTGTCTGTCGTCAGAGCTTCGCGTACAAGCGGCCCCCTCTCGATGCAGTGCTAACAACCTAAGCCGATCCCAGGCTTTGCCGAAAAAATAAAGGAAGGCAGACAGAAACTAGTTTTTCCCCCCTCTAACTTACCCAACTCAAGCTGGCAGACAGTGTTGGTGTTGCTGCCGCCTCGACTCGATGCGATACACTTCTTCCCTGTGCCTGTGCCTGTGCCTGTGCCTGTGGCTGTCCCTGTCCATGTAGGACCATGGCCGGCGCGCATCAAGTGTTTGCCGAGGCTTGTTAAAGTTCATTTTCGATGCAACGAGCTGCAATAATGCATAATTGTGCTCATTAGTCTTTTTGGGGCCAACGATCGTGTATGAATTTAAATTTAAGCGCTGCCAGGCCAGGCCAGGCCAGACCTAAGCCTGAGCAGACCCAGACTCAGACCCGGCCAGACCAGGTCGCAGTTGAGTTGAGCTGGGCTGCGACGAGCCCTAAATAAATACAATTGGACAGCAATGGGATGACGACGGCCACTTGACTGGACTGTTGCTGAACTGGATTGGCTTGGACGTTGGACTGCCGACTGTGGACACCAGACACCGGACACCGGACAACGGCTTCGTCGGCGCGAACTTGAAACATTTGTGAGCAGGATTTACGCGTCCAGTTAAATTTACGACTGCGCACCTTTTGCATGAAATTGACGTGGCATTTTATTTACCCCGCCACCTGCAACCAGCCGCCGTCCTACACTTTGTCTCGGATGCAGTTCGGATCGGATCGGATCGGATCGGACTGGATCGGCGGAGGCCAGGCTGAGCGTGTGGGACGATCGGATCATGTGTGCGTCTGTCTCCCTCTCTCTGTGTGGATATAAGATATAATTTGTGTCTGCGTTAATTTTTTCACGTGAATAAAGTCCATCCTTCTGCGCTCTGTCGGTCCCTGCAAAGTCATTGACTGTGGCTCAAGGAAGGAGCATGAAAGAGTAGAGGATGTGGAATATATTCCCATTAAATGCGGAAACAGTGGAAGAGACTTCATTCTCTATTATCAAAAGTAATATTCTGTACAGTAAATTAAACGAAATTCAATGATTAGTTGTTGCCTTTTGAATAAATCACTTAATAACCGCCGAAAGTCCCATTGAGAGTCATTGAGGTGCGCTGAGAATGGTTTCTTTTGGAATTTTGCGGTTCAAGAAGCTGGGCAGGGGCAGTATAGTGAGGCATAAATTACCTTAGAGGGATGCGAATGCAGTCAGGCATTAGATGGAATCATCATCATCGGGTGTGTATTTCGGGAGGGTTGCAAGCGCAGAATGGGAAGCATGGGAACAGGACCAAGAAGTGCCGACAGCCTTGAGGCGACCGGCTAAATCGTCTCGCACAGACACACTCACACACTCACACACTCACGGGACAAACAAGCAAACAAAACGAAGCCCAAGGCAATCTTGTTATCGAAGAAGGGTCCAGGGCGGAGGAGAGGCTAGGGATAGGGGCTCTATATATAAACTACTTCAGGTAATCTAAGGATTGGAAATGCTAATCGCCTTTATTTCGGTACACCCAACAACAAACAAAGGCGCAGCAGCAGGAGCAGCAGGAGCAGCCTTTTCGCTTTGTCACCGCTACATGGGTCGGGGTCCTGCTTCCAGGATCTCGAACAGACAACAGAGTGCGACGGGCTTTGATAATTGAAACCGTAAAGTTGTTCAGGATGTAAACGCAGGCTGCCAAAGGATTCTCTCTTTTGTCTCCTTTTTTTTTTGTGTGTTTTTCTTTATAAATGTTTGTTTTTTTTTCGCCCCGAGTTACCACCCTTCTTCCCTTCTATTTTGGTGTCGCTTGTCGAGTTATTCGTGCGATTATTCTTGTAGGACATTACATTGGGCTCCTCTCGTTTGCATATATCGTCCCTGTTGGGTGTGAGCTCTGAGTCAGCCCCTGAAACGCACGAGTCGCAGGGAGGGCCTCTTTGATATTGCCTCGAATTTCAGTGCATCCCCTCCACCATTTGCCGTTGGGACATAATTGCAGGTTGCAGCGAAACTGCTTTGATTTTGGGCTACTTCGCCGCCGCGGTTTCCCTGCTGTCCCGTGTGTGTTTCATATTTCAGTTTGCCAGTCAACTCCCCTCCCATCCGATGCGTTTTTATTTGTTTGCTATCTTTGTCTCTGTGCCAACATCCTCCGCAGCATCCTCATCTTCGTCTTCGCTTTCGTTTGACAATTTTCCGGCTGACATTCAAGATTTTAATCGCTGCCATTTGGCATAACTAGATTCTTGGGGTTTGTCGTTTGTCGTTTGTCCTCTGCCGTTTGAACAGTCTCCGATTTCGCGCGCTTCATTTGGAGGAAGCACACCCTTCGGGGCAACAAGTTTCTGGGGTATTCGATTCGGAATGATTCAGAGCTGGAATGAGGCAACACTTGACATTTGGCAAATCAAATTGCTAAGGCTCAGGGCACTATTCATTCACTGATTAGCTAACAATTTCAAGCATTTCCCTGTTGTATTCTCCCGTCTTGTAATCATTGAAGCCCATCTATCTGTTGGCTCTTGACTCTTTGCTCCACTCGGCTCCAATGGACATTCCGTTTTAATGTCTTGCCCCAAACTCTATTACGCGCCTCATTATACGCAGGTGGGGGCGGATGGAAAACAAAAGCGTTTCCGCACAATGGCAGTTGCCAGTTGCCCGTTGCCGAAAAATGAAAAGCGAAATTAAACACATTCAATTAAATGTTGTGTGTAATTTTTCGCAACCCAAAAGTTGGCCAACATCCCGGCAGACGGCCCCGCCTGCTCCACAATCAGAAAGGTGAAAAGTTATTCCTGCTACGTTGGCATTAACGGTACGGTACGTACCTTCTCCATCACCTGCCTGGCTCTGCCTGGGGGTGGGGTGTGCGTTGTATTTGTTTTTGTTGTTGACCCCCCGGCGCTTTTGTTGGCGGGGATGCTGCCTGCCAGGATATTCCCCCACCAAAAATATGCAAGAGTAATGCCGAACATCAGCGCTTATAACTGCGCCGATTATGAAGTTAATTTATCAGCACAAGCAGCAGCAGCAGCAGCATCAGAGCGGATGAGCAGACAGTCAGTCATTCAGTCATTCATTCAGTCGGGGATTCGTGGGTTCGAGCGCTGATTGTGAGCAGCTTGGGGTTGGCGTTTTGCGGGGCGGACATTCATTAAGCCATCAAATGGCCAAAGACAAATTTAGCCAGTCAAATGAATAAGTGAGCAGGTAACGAGGGTCGTTACAGAAGTTGCCCGCAGGGTTTAGGGTTTCCCACACGTAATCCTCGCAAATTTATCGAGCACCGCTCGCACAGCAGCTTAAAGCTGACTGCTGAGAGGCACTGCCACTGCTGGAATAGTTTAGTCTTCAGAGAGTTCCTTCAACTTGTAAGCAGTTGCCAAAGTTCCTTGCTTCCTCCTGCTCCCTCCCTGCCTGTAGTTCACTTGCAGAAATTCCTGCTTCAATTTACTTTCAACATGCTTTCTCGAGAAGTTCTTTTTTGTTGCTAAATATCCGTACTCGCTCACAGGGGGAATAGAGCGAAGAAGGAGGCGAAGGCTTGAGCCAGCTCTAACGATAAGACGCACGCACACGACACTGTAGAGTGGGCGGAGCTTGGGTCTAGGGTTCAGCATCGTCTGCAGTGCCGTAGACATTACCGCAGCCACGCGCGTGTTTTACGTTCATCTGTCTACTTAACGTGGCCCCAAACGCCCAACCAGACCCAGTCAGGACTCGGCTCCAGCCCTACACGACATCCTCCTTCCTGCTGTTGCTCCTGCTCCTCCTCCTTCTCCTCCCACTTGTCGTCGTCTGCGTTTTAACGTACTAATCCTTGCTTTTATCTCTTGTTTGACTTTTGCTACGCGCACTCCATACACCCGCTCATTTAATGTCATTGTCGCACACCCACTCCTCTGCCCAACCACTTTCCCATGGCAATCCTTTCCAAATATTTGTCAATTTGTATGCGCAAGTTTCTTTTCAATTCGCACCACACGGCGTATGCGTGTCATAAGCGCTTTCTTAAAGTGTTGTTTGGGGCCTTGATTTCGCCTGCAAGTACGAGAGTGTCACACACTTTTGATTTCCATTTATTTGCTTTTCATTTTTCATCCCGTTCCGTTACGTTCCGCTGGCCGCACTCGCGTATTTCCTCTTGCTTATTTTTCATTAATCAACGGCACGTGACCGAGTATTAATTTTTAAACCAATTGGGAAATATTTTAACAGTGGAGATACTCGCTTATATTTTACCCCTCAGTGTAGCTTTTATCTACAATGTTGCACGCATAGAATATGCCACTGATCGAGGGTAGTTCCAAGTCTCCAATCAGACTTTTATTTATTGTTTGTTCTGGGACTACGCTGCGTATGCGCACTCAACAAACAATCAAGCTTTCTGCAGACTTTAGCGCACTCTTCATAATCAATTCATCTTTTTGAATAGGCTTCAACAGGCTTTTTGTTGTGGCAAAAGATGGGAATCTGCATGCGGCACATTCCCTACAATTTCTATCCCCTACATCTCCATTCTTCGCAGCATAATCCCTACCCATTTGAAGATGCTCTAATGAGCAACTCTTCAAAGTGTCGTCTGGCATACAGGCAACACAATAAACCCGAATTAGTCAGATGACAAGAGAAAGAGAGAGAGAGAGAGGAAAGGAGAGATGCAAGCCTGAGGCATACCCTGGGGGCTCTGTGGACTGCTATGCGTTCTGGTATTTATTATAATTAACAAAAATGCAAAGGGATTAATTGTGAAATTGTGCTTGAAAAGCTGTAAATGCTGTTCATTAAAGAGCAAGGAGAACCCAGAGAAGAACCCATTCGAGGGCGGATGGGAACGTGAGGGCGAATGGGAGCTCAAGTGCGGATGGGGATCCAGGGAGCTTCGAGTTACCGCCAGCTTGTGAGTGTGTGTGTGTGTGTGTGTGTGTCTTGCCATTATATAATAGACATTATCAGCGCTAATTCAGTTATTTCTTAATTATAAACTACTTACGCCCGCTCCGCTGTTCTAACCCTGGGAAGGCAGGCACTTGGCTTCGGTACGGCTTTGGGCAGTGGCACAAGGGGAGTGTGGTGGGTGCAGCGCGGGGCACGTGTGACATTCGCCTTGTCTGTGGGTCGCTGGTGCTGCTGCTGTCTCAGTTACAGCTTTTGCCTTCAAGTTGTCTGCATAATTACCAAAGTTGTGTGTAGTTATGATGGCTCAGATTACGTCGCCCAACTTTTGCCCAGGGTTTGATGATGGCCAGACGCCGCAACGCGAGGCCAGAGAGCTGCACATAATTGCCGCAGTAGATGGGTAGCTGGCGGGCAGCCGAACCGTTTGTTTGCCCAATTTGCTACCCCTTTAAGGGCCACCCCACCAACTACCACCCGCGGCCTGTAAGCCACTTCAAGCAGCCCAACTTTGATTGAAATATACAATTTTAATGAGGCAGCAGCTTTTTATTTTCCTCCTTTTTCGCATTGTACAAATTGCGAGGAATAAACAAATAAACCAAACAAAATCAACTCAAAGAAACAATGCAGCCAGAGCAGGCGGAATCGAGTTTGGGGAGGGCACTTGGCATGTAGGGGATGGAGAGGTGGGTTACTCGAGACACAACTTATGAGACATTTCAAAGCAGACGAAAGATAAACAATACTCAGACCCCCATTGTGTTGTAGTTGCGTTGCTCTACTCTAAAATGTATAATGTTTGCCAGCTTTGATTTCTGTATTTGTATCTGTCAACTATGCCACAATATTGTGTAGCCATCGAGCAGTCTGCGTATTCTTTTTATTTTATTTATTTATAATATTCATTTTGTTACGGCTGCAACAGAGACGAGTCGTAGCCATCGCTGATTAGCTCACAGTTCAGCCTTCCCATGGAAGGTGAATAATATTTCGTTGAAATAATGAAAATCAAATCACTTTGGCCTCGAAGCCTCGAGAGTATATGTCAGAGTTCTGGCTGAATGAATGCTCTGTGGGTAAATGAGGTATTAATTAGCATCGAACTACCGCAAAGCTCTGTAAAAGAAAAAGGAAAGACTCGTGAAGTGTTGTGGAATGCAAAGACCGAGCATTGAGAAAGAGAAATGATTAATTACGCTGCCGAGTTTGCCGAGCTGACTTCAAGCATGATTTATTGTAATTTAATTGTGGAACATTATGCGGTCGATTTGGGCATTTTTGAGCGTAGAAATGATACGGAAATGCCCACAGCAAAAATCTCTACACAAACAGTGGCAAATTATCATCCTTTTGAGGGCGAAAGTTGAAGGACCCGCAAGGAAGCAACTAGCCACATTGTTGGCTTTGTTTGTCTCTCTGTCTGGGGCGTGTATTCAGGTGAAAGGAATTATATGTATGTATATTCCCTCATGATTATAATTTCATCAGTGGCAACACCAAAGAACCATCAAAGGCATGTCGAAGACGGTGCTCCACTCAATATCGTTGTGGTTGCAATGATTGAGCACACAGGATTGGGTGGGTGCGATGCCCCCTTCTAGAGCATGCTTCAGTGTACACTTATTGACTGAGTTGGTCGACGTCAGTCAAGTCCTTGGCTGTCGCCACCGATGCGCAGAAGCCCTGTGCCGTTCCGTGCTGCTGGCAGACAGAAATCAATTGTTCCCATTATTATAATGAGATTACTTACCTACTGAACGACAAAACGTAGTGCCCCGGCCATGCCACAAGAAGGAGCGACTCCTCCAGAACCTGGAATCGAAAGGTAGTCGAACTATGTACAACGAAAATATATGTAGATGGGTAGATAGATGGATGAATAGATGGATAGATGGTTGGGATGGCTGGGATAGCAGCTCTTTGTGCCGGCATTCGCTTGCAAATATAATGACTTTAGTAGTCAGCGGAAAATGCTGGAAAATTGCTTGGCAAATGCTGGAAAACATTCAATGCTCAACTCGGAAGGTTCGTCCGAGCACCCAACGAGTGCTCCAATTGCATCAGCAGCCGGAGCCAACAGCAGGAAGAAGCACACTTTTTATCTATTTCCCTTTTTGTTCTTTCCCTCGTGAAAACTCTCTCCTCGCTCGGCTTCAGCATTTATCAGTTTTGCATTGCATTTGAGCTGAGATTAGCGGCAGGAACTAGGAGCAGGGAGCTCCCCGGAGGTAGGAGCTCGCAGCTAGGAGCCCCAGGGAAATGGAATCGGTAAATCATTTAATGGGACTTTGATTTCCCTGAAATACTTCAAGTGACTGAAGGTTTGCTGCCACTCGATTGAAAACTAATAAGCAGCTTCCCGAAAATCAGACAACGAGATAGAGAATACAAATGGGATCGAAAAACAATAATTACAATGGGATAAAGCCGAAAAGCAACCGAAACTGATTCATTAAATTTCAGTTTAAATATTTTACACCATTTAAAAATTCTGTAAAATATTTTCTGTGGCATCTTTAAGCACTCTTCCAATGGAATGCAAGCTTCTGCTACAGTTAGCACAGCAGTAAGAAATAAACAAAATAGAAAAGTGAAAATCTGTGTCAACTGCGCTCTCCGCCACAGACAATAGAAAGTAGAGTGAAAAGAGCCCATCCATTAGGAGAACAAACCGCTGGGAGATGAGTTGCATGCCACAGGGCAATGGATTGGATATCTAGTTTTGTAGCAATGTTTGGAGTGTTTGGAGTGTTTGGTTGTGTTTTTTTTTGGAACTTAACCCACATTAAAGACGCGGACCAGAAATACTTAACCCAAGAGAGTGCATCTGGCTGGTGAAGGTGCGAAGAAACGCTTTCAGTTTTCACAATTGAATCGAGTTAAAGACAAATAAATATGAAAAGTCGAAGCTGAAACTGAAACTGAAGACACCGGGCGGACACGGCTCAATTTCATCTAGCAGCAAGGCAGAAAGAAAGACGAAAGACGAATGACGTAAGGAGTTGCCAGCAAGAAAGTGCTCAGATACACATGCCTATATGTGTATCGATTAACGAGCCGAAGATGGAGGCTCAAGCTGGAGTTGCGACTCGCCATCATCATCATCGTCACAGTCATCGGCAGCCAAGGGGCTTAAGTGCCCTGCAGTGTACGAGAATGGACTGTGGACTGTGGACTGGTCCGAACTGTGGCAGAGTGGAGAGTGTGGAGTGTGCGGCATGTGTGAATATCACATGTCAGTGGAGGTATAATTAATGCGGGTCAGACGCCGATTACAATGCGCCAACTGACAGCCCCAAGTGTCTATATATATCGCTGATGTCTGTGCCTAGGCCCACGGGGCAATGACAAGACGAAATGCCAGCCAGAGCAAAAGAAAAGCAATGATAAGCAAATTCTCCTCATCCTCTCCGCTGGCGGCTTGAATCGAATCAAATTGTAACACTCACTTTCTACACAGATACACATATTAACTATGGCTTGTGTACCCACTCTCTGGGGCTCTCAATGAATTTGATATTTATTGTTCGACAGCCGCAGAAATTTGTCTAGCAATTCCCTCGCCTTTGCCGCGTGCTCCTCTCCAGTGCTTGGTGGAAAATTAATGAATTTTCTATGCAAATGCAGAAACGCGAAATAAAATTTAATGTCCGGAAAAAAATGTGCGCAGGCGACGTGCCAGGGCGACATTGGAGGAGGTGAGTGTGGAGCTGGAGCTCGGGCAGGAACTGGTGCTGGATCTGAGGAGCTGGCAAATTGTGGCAGAAGAAAAATGAAACGCATTAGTGAGAGCAACTAAAGGCGACTGTCGGACATGCTGGGTGGTTCCTTTAAAGCATTCACTAAACCTGCTCGTTGGAGTGTGGTTTTATCGATTTATGCAAAACCATTGCCACTCCCTGGCTAAGCCCACACCCACACCCACACCCACGCCCACATCCGCACCTACAGCCAAGACCACTTTCTGTCTATCATTATTATGTACGTTTAGGCCTTGTTGCTTCAGACATTGTCGTTGGTCTGCCCAAGCATGGGCGTGACTTTTTGTTTGACTTTAGAGACAAGCCAGCCTTGGAACTGGGTCAGAGTCCTATCGAACAGCAGCAGCAGCAGCATCGTCCTTGTCCCAGTCCCAGCCACCGGGTAACGTGCCACTGTCAGCGGGCGGTAAATCAATAGCTATTGGCAAGCAATTTGTAAAATATTCAATGCATTCTCAAGCCACTTCATGCATAGATTACGGCCTGCGCCTTTTGTCTCTCTCTCTCTCGATGGGGAAGACCTTGCCCAAAAAGGAAGTAGACTAGCAGAAGAATGAGAGAAAACTCTTCAATTATTTCCCCAGCGTATTTGTCAATCATTTAAGTTACGAAACAAATGTATAACTCTCGAAAATAGTTCTCTGAAGGCTGGAACCAACTGGGAAATCAGGTAATTCCGCAGCCCTGTAGCTGTGTCATGCGGCGAGTAAGTGGAATATGGAATATCCTTTGAGGCAGCGCACAACACAGCGTGCAACATAAATAAGCTAATTAGGTGCAATTAAATATCCTTTTTGATTGCGGCTGCTACACACACACACCCACTCTGTCATAGAGAGAGCGCAAAACTTTTTTTGTTGCAACTGCTGGCCTGGCCCTTTGCCTTGAAATGTTGAACCAGGAAAACTCATGTGTTCGCTGGGGCCATGGCCACGCCCGCTGTTAGACAGCTGCAACGCACTCCTCCGCCCTCGCACAGGGCAAGTTGCCACACAGTTGCCACAACGTGGACAAAGTTTTTTCCGCCCAGCGCAAATGTTATTTTCCTCGCTGTTTTTGTGTCTTCGGTGGGAATGAGACAGCAAGAAAGGATGTAGCGGTGGCCAGGATGGGACAAGGAGGCCGCCGGAAGTCGGGACTTTCCAACAGCAAACTTTTCATGTGGCAAAAACTGTTAGAGAGGGAGAGAGACCGTTTTTGCTCTCTACGCGCGATGTGTGCGGTCGAATAATTGAGTTGGCATTGGCCTGGGCTCCTGCAACAACATAATTACCCTAATTAATTGTAATTATAGTCAAATAAACTATGTGCAAATGCAATAATTTGCGTATTTTGTTTTTGCTCAGTAACTGTAGCTTGTTTTATGGGTGCCCAACAATCCAACAACAGCGCCAGAGCGGAGCGGGCCCAAAAAAAAAAACCCGTCTAGACCCATTGACACTTACAAGCGCCAATGTTGTTGGCCTTCTAACGGTGCTTGGCATCACGCACATAGCACAGAGCGAATCTCCAGACCCGACCGGGACCGTCTAAAATTTGTACCTACAACTATTTCAGCTAATTCTGCAGCACATTCCACAACAACACTTTGAGTTCCCTCGTTGTGGCTCCCCGTTCGTTCCACTCATTCGAGAGGTGCTGAAAATTTCCTCGAGATCTTGAGAGAAGCACAACAAAATTTAAATTGTTGCAGAAGGTACAGGCACAGTGGTTAAATATGACTGAAAATTAATGTCATTCAAGCTAGAACATTCCCATATTCTGATTTAAAGCTCAGCGCAGAGACAGAGGCCGGCAGCTGCACAGAAAAAGATCGCGAGCAGCGCTGTCGGCGTAACACACAGAGCCAAAGCTTCGTGTGACTTCGGCATGTGAAGAGAACCGAAGCTGCGGCAGAGAAAAAGTGTCGGCTGCGCGCAGCGGCAGAGAAGCAAGAAACGTTTTCAATCAATTCCGATCTTTACGATCAGCTTTGCCCCACTGTCTCTTTGCCCTGTCTTGACAGTGTCTCTTGACCTCTCTCTCTCTTCTTTCTTCTCTCTACCTTCCTTCTCTTCGTTCGGTCTCATGAGATCGCAAAGCGACGCGACGCATGTGCAAAATGCTAAACAATTTTCGGCGCAGCTGTGCCCGACTGAACTTATCTTGGGGATCTGGATCTCTGTCGTTCTCCCCCTTCCGTGCCTACCTACCAATGTGCCTCTGCTAACTAGGCTGACAACGAAAAGTGCCGAAAAGAGCAGCGGCGCGGCATCGGCAACGACCAAGGCGAATGCGGCCTGGTTCTGTCTGTGGTTCTGCCGGGCACTGGGCTCTGGTTTCTGGGCTGCACTCGTGTTAGCTTGTCGCTCATTTGGCGGCCTGTCCATTTGGATTTCGGTTTCGCTTTGGCTCTTTCTTGTTAACTGTGAAACGGACAAACTGGCGCACCGGAGGGAGGGAGCTGGAGTGGGTGCGGGAGTCGGAAGGGTATCGGCTATAAGTGGTATAATTTGAACTGCTATATTATGTCGCGCACACAGATACTCGCAATTCCCCTCCGCCCGCGGATTCTCCGCAATTAAACGTGTGGGCCATTGCCGTACCGTACCAGAGAGCGGTGCCACAGGCGCAATGTGGCAATGTGGCAATGCAACTGCCACTTCGACTATCTGGCGGTCAAATGAGTGGGCTAGTTAGTGGGCCGTGGCTCTGATTGGGCATATCGTGGCATAACTAACTCGAAATGTGTCCAAGGAACACAATTTGCATGGCAATTGCCTGTGCCGCATAGCAGTATGTGCTGCTGCCTGCTTTGGTTGCAGCTGCAATTGCGGATTTCCCCATGTTGTCTTTTAATGTGGATGGCCATGATATGGCCGAGATTTGGGCTAGATATTGTGTGGATGGGACTTCACTTGGAGGCGTGGCTGTCGCTAGGGAAAACCATTTGCCAACCACTTCCCACGCACACGCACACGCACACGCACAGGGGAACCACTAGGCTCGGATCACGCGATATCATCGCGCACTTCTGCCCACTAATGTCCACAGATTAGGGCTTCTTCAGTGTGTAATGTGAGACCACACAACGAGGGTAACTATTTGACTTTGGGAATCGAAACAGGGATTAAACAAAAAGATTAACAATAAGGCTAGACCAAAACACAGCTACAAATTATTACCACTAAACGGGCAGGCAGGGAGGGCAGAGACTGGACCCCAGACAATCGAAGATCTGAGCTTCCCTGGCGATAATAAATTACAACCGAAATGTATGTAGATTTGTATTCCACGCCCATTTTGGGCAGCTGCGACTGCATAATGGGGGGAGAGCACGCGGCCGTTCCAGCAGCCACCACACGTGTCCAGGCATGTCCCGGGCCAGGGGCTTCGCTTATCTACCAACTGCAGTTGCCGAGAGAGGGAGAGAGAGAGTGACCTTCAGCAAGTTTTTCGGGGCATGTTTGGCGTGTTTACACCTCCCACCTCCCACCGATCCACAGATCCCAGCAGCTGCCGCCTGCTCTTAAGACTGATATGATAATGAGGGTTGACTGTTCCGCAGAGAGAGAGAGAGAGAGAGAGAGAGCAAAAGAACGACTCGACAGACTGCAACATAAATCATGGTTAAGCTCCACTATGTTAATTGGCCCAAAGGGCTGGCAGGCGGGCAGTCAGGCAGGCAGAAATTCCTGCCAATTTGAACAATTTTCGCCAAAAAACAAAAGCAGCAAACAGTCAGAAGTCGAGAGTCAAGAGTCCCGGGAGTCGGCACTTGAAGAGGCTCCTCTACTCCGGCAAACACTCGAATACGCAAATTTAAATAAAATCATCAAGAATCGGAAATTTGAATTTCCGAAAAGAGGCACTCGAGGCAGGCTGGTTGCAGGGGTAGCGGGGTAACCCCGCCTAACCGCTACCAATGGCCTGGCCCATCATTTCGTCGACCACTTCAAGTCGAGAATCGCAGCCGAACTTTTGGGTCTGCCCCTCGCCAATGCCATTGCCTGTGTCGTTTCGTTTGGCTTTAACCTGGCCAAGACTTGGCTTTGGCCTGGCCAAACGTCAGTCTGTCGGTCCGTCAGTTCGTCAGTTCGTCAGTCAGCACCTCATTCAAATGGCCTGCCATGTCTGTCCGCGTGTCCTCCTGTTCGGCTGTCCCTGGTGGCTCCTACGGACCAGGTCCCAAGTGCAGCCACTCGGTTCTGCTGCTTTGACTGCCCCACGACTTCTTCTCGAAATGTTTTCATTCGTTCCATTCGGCTTCTTATTTTTTGCCAACCTCTTTGTTCCCTATTCTCAGCACAGCTCACCGGCACCGCCCCGCCGCACACCGCCCCACACCGCCCTGCCACGCCCCTGACTGAAGTGCATACAATTGAAATAATTTCCGTTGGCCTCCTGCACGGTGGAGAGATGTTGTGGGGGGGATGTCCGCTCTCTAGAGTCGAGTGCA